GTATCTTTTCCTTGTAAAACACTCTAATCTTTGGTTTTGATATGTGCTATATAAACTTTATTGTTATTTATTATTATAATAAAGATGAGAAGAACAAGGAGGCCAGTAGAAAACACCACACATACTGCACAGCAGCTACATAGAGCCACGATAAACGTCTTAACGAACAATCGTGATGCATACTGAAAGTGTTAAAACACAAAAAAATGATTTTTAGCTTTAACAAACAGCTAAATGAGAATAATTCTTCTGGTCGGTCCCTAATGTCTGAAAACAATTTACACTGCACATGTGCCATTATGGGACACAGCTATGAAGGCTAGGATTGTGGTTACTTTTGTCTGTTTTGATGGGACTTCTGTGATTGAATACAGTGGTTGTTTCAAAATACATGTGCTCATGTGTGACGCTGAAATGCTAACAAGAAAGTAAGTTGTTTTGAAGTTTTTTTTTTAGTATCAAATTCCCTGGAATGCATTTTTGCACAGAACTGGGAACGTGGAGTTTGTTTCTTCAGCGGGAATTTCATTCAGAAGGAATCTTTTTACAGCCAGTGTGGACAGGAGGTTTATTACAGTGAGAGCACTGTATAAAGACAGACTTACCTTTTAACACGAAAAGATAAGATTGTAAAGTGACCACGTTGAGTATTGCATTGTGCAGATTTTCTTGACAAAAAAATGAATGAATTAAATGGATCTCAGATGTTTTTGACATCATCTGCCTCTGATGATGTTCATTCTGGGAGAGATCCAATGATTAACTACTGCAATTTACTTTTTGGCTTTCCCCTCAGCCTGCCTCAGCTACTCCTACTCCTAGTCAGTGATTTCCCAGAGTGACTTTCAACAATCTCCAGAGGTGGAAGTTCTCTCGAACATATACATTATGTGTAGGTGGAGAGAGCAACAGTTTTTTCAGACTGAGAATGAAAGTGGGAGAAGAGAGAGAACGATGCCTCTGTGTTCTCTGCCCTGCTGTTCAAATTACACATAAAAATAATCCATCGAACAAGGCTGTTATATTTCACATGCCACCGATGTGGCTGCATTGCATTTTGGTCTACTGAGGTTCAAACAGTGGACAAATTATTTTTTCTCTCTCTGCTTCAATGGATTTAGCCCCGTAGGATTGTTGAATGGACAACAAAATGGCAGATAGAAGCTTTTGCTCTTTGGGACACATAACATTGATCAGTCGTGATTTAGATGACAGAAACATTTTGTACAATGAGGCTCCATTGCAGCCCCGCTAAAAACATCTCAATATGGTGTCTCTATGAGGTCAGTTTTCTGCAAGATTAAGAACTATATAAAACAATTTAGAGAAAATAGGAGAATGAATGCAAGGTATGTTGCAAGTATCTGCTTTTCAAACACTGCTTTCAAGGACAGTGATATGCTGGGGCTTGATTAATCACAGTGCAAAAATCAGCTGGACCAGACAGCTGGAAACTTTTTCAGTTCTGTTTTTTTTCCAACAAATGCAGCATGTTGTATACGAGCAGGGATTCAGGGGGTCGTTGACAGAAACATACCTACTGTGGGGATCAAATCTGTGACCACTTTTTGATCAGACACAATCCTGTCTCCTCACTTTTCTCCTCTCTGACCATGTTGTGGAGAAACCATGGTCACCTACCCCTTTCTGTAATCTCTTCATCAAGAAGTCTGAGCCACCGGGCTTCTGGCCCAGGCCAGGGTACTTGGCCTTCAGCTTGGCCTCCTCTGCCTTCACCGGGTTTGCATTCTTCTCCTGGGAGTCCTGTGGAGACAAGAACAAACAGACATAAACACGCCTCCTTTGCAAGAAAACACAGGGTGTCAGCTGATACATCTTCAGGGAAGTTTAAGCACAACTGGAACAACTGCTTATGTGACAGGCACTCATTTGTGGTTATGCTACAATTCAAAAAAATGCTGCTGCTCCTACAAAAACACCAAATTCCCGCAGTAAAGTCTACTGTGGTAATCAGGGCCCCTTCTCTCTTCAAAAACACTAAAACTGCACTTGAAAACCTGCTGTGAATAGGGCTAAAAACTATGACAATGACTAATGGGAACTGAAGATTATGATAGTATGAGTCACAGCATGAATGTTCTTATATTATGGTCTCTCATATCACCATCATGCCATAGAGGATATAACTCAGGAAAAAGGACAAGCTTGGTACAAACAGATCTTAAAAGAGGTCTACATTATTTTTAGAAGCTTACATTTACAACTAACAGCTAAAGCCATCTTTTGTAATCATGTTTAGAAAGATTTTATACGGCAGAGCCTCATGTATGCATCTGTTAAAGCTAAAAACTAGTCCATAAAAAATGAACTTCTATACAAGTCTATACAAGCCTAATGTACTTCTTTATGAACAATTCGTTCTTACGATAAATTCTGAAACGTCCCTTTAAGCATGATATGCTAAATTGTTAAATGACAAGTCCTTGCATGCTGTTATTTTCAGTTGATGTGGACATAACCCTCGTTATAACTCTGTGCCTGCCATAAATAATCCTTACACTAAATATAATGACTCATTAAGTGGTTATGTACTTTTTAGAAGAAATCTGGGAATTCACATAAAGAAACAACAACTTGACAACACCTTCTGGCTCTTACACCAGGAGGGGGATACAGAAGCCTGAGGTGGCGATTTGTAAAGACAGTGGAAGTATTTGTCCTGTTGCCACTGACTAACAGTGGCCAAACTGGTCAGATACCTGTCATTCAAGTCCCTGTCAGGTAGTTATTGAGGCCAGTCATTTGGGCCAACAGGACACACCTTGTTTGTGTACATAGTGTGAATCAAGTGTTGTGACTGCACGTTAAAACTATCTGAAGAAACAGTAGATGTAAAGTGCATGTAGGTCAAAACCGGACACACTCCAAAAAAGGACATTCGTGCACTCCCTGTATGTATACCTGAAGCAAGCAGCCCACAGCACAGACCTACTTCCACTATGCAGTCAAGATAGGGCACTCAGCCTGCAAAGCTTGCTGGGGCAGGGATAAAATGTGACTCAGGACACAGAAGCCGATGAACAGATTCCCTCAGGAGGAGGGGGGGGGGACGTGTGGCACCGAGTGTGCTGATTCACTTGGGTTCATGACGAGAAATTTATGAGCTACTATATTCGGCGCCAATGCAGGGAAACTGCAGAATCCAACAACACGTTCTTTGTGCACCCTCTAGAACACTTTTAAACTGGAAAAATCGCCTTAGGAAGCTTCAAAGTTTCACTGAACATTTCCTCCACGCTATTTGCCCGTATCGATATACAGTATCTGCTTTTTCCGGTGCCTCACTGAAGCTGTATCGCCTTTCAGAGGGTGAAAGATTATTCAATAGGACTGTTAAATTTAAAGTAAAAAAAGATTTATATATGGATATATAACGCATCGCAATTATTCTTGATACATTTGGTATCTTTACAAACATTGTGACATTGACAAATAAATAAAATAAAGTTATGTGGGTTTAAGCAGTGCTGTGATTTTGGGTCAGCAGGTTGAAGGAGGCCCTAATGTGTAGGAGGAGGTCTTTATTTTACACAGTTTGACTGATTTAAGTGCGACAGTTACTACATCAGTAAAGCTGTTTGTCAAAACATTTCACACTATTACCATTCACTGCAACTTAATGTCTTAAGGTATGTGCACACATCTAAGCTTAAGCACAAAAACCAACAGGTCTGTCAACAGAAGCCAACATTTGAAACTTCTAACCTGCTGCACAGCCAATCAGGTGCATGTATTTATCATTTATCAACTATTGCTATATTTCTCATATATTGGGGGTTGTTTTTTTAAAAAAAAAAAAAACATTAACAATTCATTTGCATTATCAAAACAAACAGCTAAATCACTTTTCTTCATAAATGTTGAAGTACTTAAGAATACCAGCAGAAAACAATAACCCCAGTTTGCTCTTGAATCACTGTGCATCCCAGAATAATGTCAATGAAACATCAGCACGTGTCTTTTTGTGTATATAAATGTATATAACATAAATTACGCTTTCTAGAATATCAAACATCAACAAACTTAACCAGTAGAAATAAACAGCAGGCCTTTAAAACTGAGCAAAACAAATGCCACTGGATGCATCTGCTGACCTCCTGATGTCAGCAGATGTTATATATATATATATATATATAAATATATAACGTTAGCACTGATCCAAACAACGTGCACATCACTGCCGTTGTTGTGCCACTGTATGCGGAAGCACTGTCACACTGCAGTTGTTGTCACTGTCAGGAGTAGACCATCACACATCTTCAGCCATAGGCCAGTCAGGATGAACAGGTCAGCTGGTTGCTTCCATGCATGTGTTTCCAAAAGTGTACAAACCACCGAGTTAGGTCTTTATCTGGGAGCCTGTCAGCCCTCCATGGCACGTTTTCAGACCCCCTCCAGGACAGACCAATGAGGCCCGAGCTGCTGTGGGCTTGCCAGCCAATGACACAAGGCAAGGGACACAACAAAGTGACACACAGGCAAGGTGCTACGTAAGGTGGGCCATCTACAATAAATAAAAAAAAAACAACCCCAAACATCCCCCCCACCTCCCTCCCTCCCTCCCTCCCCCCCCTCCTCGCCTTTGCTGCAGCGTTGCACACTTCTCCTGTGCTAGCTGATGTTAGCCACCTCCAGCTAGCACGCTCCGTGGTTAGCCAACAACACCAAGACGGCAGTCGGAAAAACAACACACCTGCTTTTCGTCCTCGTAGTCCACCTGAGTGTCCGAGTCCACGTTTTCTGTCGACATTGCGTGAGTGCGGTGAGACGAGCGAGTGTCACGTTCTCGCCGGACGACCCAAAGAGGTGAGTTTAACGCGGCACGGTTTGATGTACCTGTGCTAAATCTAATCCTCCTTCTCTGGACACGACTGCTCCCCAACAAAAATGGCGTAACGAGATGTGACGTCACCGCCGGGGAGGGTGTTTCTCGCCGCGGGTGAGTGGCATATACAGTAGCCAATAGACGAGCAGCATCGGTCCGCGATGAGCCAATAGGAGGCCGTTGCCAGCGCCGCTCGCTGTGATTGACAGCCCGTCGTCCAATGAGATTACGAAGCTCACTGGGGGCGACGCGGGGGCCGCACTGCATCAACACAAAGCACCTGAACAGCACAAAAGATGTATTATTCATGTAACATGTCGGTTTTTAAATTCGCTATATGTTATATTAATGCGTAAATACACCCAAAAATAGCCGTCTTTGTCATTATTACTTTTATTCCTTAGCAGAAAACCGCGGAGGAGCTCCTTGCTCTGTGATTGGCTACTTGTTGACTCCTTGCTCTGTGATTGGCTACCTGTTGACTCCTCGCTCTGTGATTGGCTACCTGTTCACCGCTGTTGGTGCCCGTCAATCAAACAATTAGCGGGAACGGTTGTTTGTTTTTGGTTTTTTTTAGCTAAACTAGCTTGCTTTAGATTAAAAATAAGATTGTACTGTTTTGTTCTGCTAAAATATTATTGTATTGTTGCCATGTAAGTACAAGTTAATTACCAGCAGACTATGTTAGTTACAATACACTGTTTAGCAGGTGATTAATTAAAATGAGCTAATTAAGCTAAAATGTGCTCGTTGTAGTTTACAGTGAAACTAGTTAAAGCACAGTTTGTCGGCCACTGGACGTAATTCCTCTCTGTTGTTTGCAGATTTTATGTTTGCAATGGCCTGTGCAACATTACAGCAAGTGAGAACTTCACAGGTAAAATAGACTAATTAACTAATTTAGCTGGTTAATGTAGATTGTGTATCAGAGAGCTAGTCAGCTACAAGGCAAGTACACAGTTGTTACAGTTTCAGATTGCCACGTTTTCTATTTTTTATCTATTTTTTAACAGTAACATTGATTGTTGTAAGTAGATTAAGTACATTTATTTATAAAACACTTTATTATTTCCATTTTATGCTTATTTACACACCTACTTCACTTAAATTCATTAGATTACATATAAAAGTCAGATTAGATACATAAAAAAAAAACCCCATTAAGTTGTAAAGTGAGGTTAATATTTGAAATATGTTGTAGGCTTTCTCGTTGAAGTGCTGCTGTTGGCTGATTTCTCGTTTCTGTGTTAACTGTAATCAATAATCAGTACTGGAGTCTGATTCGTTTATTTCACTCATGCAGGATAATCAGCTGTTGCCTAATCAGGTTCTGTCAGAGCAGCAGTCCTTGGTTGTTATAAAGAAGCTCCTGGCCATCGCAGTGTCTGGCATCACATACCTTCGGGGCCTTTTCCCAGAGAAAGCCTACGGGAGCAAATTTGTTGAAGGTTAGATTACACATGGAAACTTATTAGACTGCACGTCACAGTGGCATTCGAGGTCCATTTACCATTTCTAAATATTGACTGAGAAGATTCTTACCTCCTTTTTTTTTCCTTCCCACAGATCAGAAAGTGATGATCCTTAGAGAGGAGCGCAGCTGTCCTGGTGCAAGTCAGATTGTTCAATGGTAAATAACAACAACTTGACACTTGCCAGCCACAGTTATTGATCAGGGTCACTAGGAAAACAGCATTTTGATGGTGACATAATTAAACATAAATTCTGTTGAAATATGTTTGGACAAGCCTTGGGCTATAAAACAATAGTGAAATGTACATACGAAAGACACTTTATCAATAGCAATAAGAAGATTGTTTAATAGGCTATATAATGATTGCACCTGTCTGTCTTTCTGTCTCTCGCTCTCTCTCTCTCTCTCTCTCTCTCTCTCTCTCTCTCTCTCTCTCTCACCCCAACTGGTCGAGACAGACGACCACCCACCTAGAGCCGAAGGGTCTGTCCTAGGTTTCTGCCTTTTAACAGGCAGTGTTTCCTTGCCCTTGTCGCCAAGTGTCTTGCTCATGGTGGTACTGTTGGGTCTCTGTAAATAATGTTATAAAGAGTTCGGTCTAGACCTGCTCTATTTGAAAAGTGTCCTGAGATAACTTCTGTTATGAATTGGCGCTATACAAATAAAATTGAATTGAATTGAATTGAATTGAATAGTTTCACTTAAAGCATTAAATGCAAACCACCATGAAAACATATAACGAATACGCCCTGGTTCATTAACATGAAATCCCTTGATAATGGAGCGTGCTAGCAGCGAATCACCGTAGCCGTTTCCACACTTTGGATAAAGCAACAGGTCGTCAGTTATGACCTACATGTGTTACATCTACATTTTTAAATAAAATCAAAAATATATGTTGAGGAAGTGTTTTTATTTAAGTCAGATAAAACAATAAATAGATGCTCAGAGTTGTGATTCATATCTGACTCACAAGCTGTATATCGATGTTTTCCTGTGAGGGTATGATTTGTGGAACTCACCACTACACCATCAAGTAACACATTTTCAAGCACACAAAAATAAGCTGGATTTTTCTTCAACTAAGAATACAATTTAGCTGATATTTATCTTAAAATGTTTCAACAGTGGAAAAGATTGTGTAATTTTGTCCTCTCTATGCAGTATAGACGGAGCTGCGTTTTAGTGCTCTAACCTCTGATAATTAGATGTGTGTTTTGTTTTAATTCGGCCAGGATGCAGGGCTGCTTTGAGGCCATTCAGAAGAAGTATGTAAGTCATATTCAACTATTTTCCTTCAGTCAGAAGAGTTGTTATATACATCTGATTGAGTCATTATGAATTGCAACATAAATTAATATAACCAGCAAAGTAAGTCCATATTCACTTCTTTCCCAAGTATCCATAATAACTAATGTGCTAATGTTATTTTTCCCCCACCAGCTGCGGACAGTTATTATGTCTGTGAGTATTTTGTTAATCTTTTGTATGTGTGGTCTTTTTGTATGTTTAATTATGATAAAGACATCAGTGTGTGTGAGAAGCCTGCTTGGGAAAAGTCACAGTTGCAAAGAGATAAGCAAATACTAAGAACTGTAACTATACTCCCTTTTTAAGCTCATGTTGTGCAGCATTTAATCTTTTCTATAATGTCTGAAAGAAATATTCATGGTGCTCATGTTTTGTCCATTTGGCCCTTTTTTTATTAGATCTACACTGACCCAGAGAACCCCCAGGTAATGCGTAGTGTTTCTTCTTTTTGTTGTTGATGTTTAACAGTGCTAACCTATTGTACAGATAACTAGCTATTTATATGATTATTGCATCAATATATATACAGCCCCAGTCTTGTCCTGTCTTTCAGAAAGTGACTGAGTATTACCAGTTTAGGATCCAGTACACAGCAAAAGGAGCAGAGATGGACTTTGAAAGGTTGGATTTGTTTCACTTTACAGTTATGTTAAGTTCACAAGACATTGAATAGAAGTCATATCAATTCAGGAAAACAAACAAAAGGAAAATAGTATGAATCATCTCTAAGTTGGTTTTATACTCACGTACAAGGAAGTAACTTGATTTTTCGGTCTACTTGTGACTCCGCTGGTGAATTTAATTCCTTTAATTCACAAGTGTCTTTGGAGTTGAGAACAAAATGGATTTCATACTATAGAGAGAACGGAACAACTAGATTTAGAATAGATTTTTTAATTTCCATACCTTAAGTGAAGCTACATCAGACCTACACATGAGTGAAACATGCAGGTATTTTGATTGCTGCACTATTACATCAAATGAAATGTCATAAACAGCTGTACACTGTGACTGCACTTGCTAAATCATCACATACAGTGTGGCTGGGTCACCTCAGAACATACCAAAAATGTTAACATATTTGACCAGTTACCATAATGGTTACATTTAAGCTGCATTGAGCTGGTGGTTTCAGTTCGTTTCTCATCCTGCCCCCTTTCTTCTCCTCAGCGTCAACAATAACAACAAGGTTTCGATGTCATGTGGCAACACCAAGAAGGCCAGCATCTTGTTGGTGCGGAAGCTCTACACTCTGATGCAGAACCTGGGTCCTCTGCCTGACAATGTGTGCCTCAACATGAAGCTGGCTTACTATGAAAATGGTAACACACACATACACACCATAGTTATGATTTTCTACAAATGCAACATAAGACAAATTGAGCAAAAATTTTAAAGCTTTGCACACGTTTTCCAATGACTTAATGACCTAATGTCACGACCTGAGTCGACCTGACCTGCACTGAGTCTCTCTTTATCTTTGCTCAGAGCTTGTATGCATTTCAGTCACATTTTAGGCATTTTGCTGACGCTGTAATCTGACTTGAGTGTGTATCTAAAGGTTCAGTGTATTGCTGTAGGGCAGTCTGTCAGACCAGATTGGGAAACCAGAAGAGAGAGAAAAGTTGCACAATGCAGAAATACAATTCAGACACAAAATAAAAAAAAACACTTGCATTTGCACAATGTTGCAACTGCAGCCAACTTTAAAAAGGAAAAAAAGACATTTATAGGTTAAATGGGAAATAAATAGGTTTTTATTTATGTTATTTGCAAATGTTTAGACTTGTTTTACTTTCCATTTTTATTATTTGAAATCATTTTGAGACTGATCTTGTTGTCTGTTGTGTGTATCACCAAATAATTTTTTAACTCAGCAGACCAGGCCAGGGCATAAGTATGTATGCCTGTTTTATTTCTTTATGTGTAAAATTGGGCAGAAATGAGCCTAAATGAGAGTGTGTGTGCAGGGTTGGGATTCAGCCCTTTTAGAATTCACAGACGTGCTCTCTTGTTCAGGTTTTGTTTGTCTCTGTCTCACTGTTTGTTTCCCTCTCTGTGTGTTTGTGTGTTTTTCCAGTAACTCCTCAGGACTACCAGCCGCAAGGCTTCAAGGAGGCTGACGGCGACACCGTGGAGTTTGAGAAGGAGCCGGTCAAACTCACCATGGGCGAGGTGGTCACTCCCTTCCACACTCTGAAGTTGGACATGGCTACAGAGAGACAGAGACTGGAGCAGGTGAATGAAAGGAAGCATGAGACAGAGCCTTTGTCTCCTTATCAACAAGGTACGCAGCAGTCAGCACTTCTGGGAGCTGCTTTTTGATTGACACCTGCGCATGTTGCTAAATGTCTGTAGGTGGAGGAGAGAGTTCATATCACGGAGAAGTGGACTCTGAAGATGGAGGAGGATGGTATCCTGTCACAGGTCAGCACACAAACAGGCTTGTTTACACTCAGCAGTACAAAGTGATCATTGTAATCAAATAATCAGAAACCAAATAAATGATGACCCAGATAGGTCCGGGAATTGATTGAAGATATAATGCCTCTGAACTCTCAAATAAGACAATATTATTTCTACATTTAGTACTAAATTAAAGGCCCAGTGTGTAACATTTAGGAGGCTCTACTGGTGGAAATGGAATATAATATTAATAGGTATTTTTACATTTGTGTGTAATCTGACTATAGGAATCGTTATGTTTTCGTTACCTTAGAATGAGACGTTTTTATCTACAGATGCAGCAGGTCGCCTTCCATGGAGTCCGCCATGTTGAACTGTACAGAATGATGTGTGTGCAGTAAAAGGGTGTTTTCACATTCTTGTGGTGAAAGTGGAAAGTTTCTATGTGCTCATTGAAAAAAGAACATATCAGATACAAAATAATATTCAAAGTAGCAGCAATGGATATACATGCTATACAAGCACGTCTGATGTCTAAGTTGACATGTACAATGTGTTGAACAGCTTCGTTATTGACACCTGAGTTGGCAAATGCAAGTGAGGCTGCAGGTCAGACATGTGAGTCAGTCGGGTGTTGTGGTCTGTGTGTTGACATTGTGTAACCATGTTGATCAGCTAACTTGTTTTCGATCTTTCAGAGTCATGTGATTGAAGACGTGGAGAAGTCTGACAACGAGAACACAGACTTGGACAACACTGGTAAATCCTCCCTCCCGTTTCACTTCAACTGTGTACATAATAAGCTTTTCCAGGGTTCAGTTTGACCTTGTTTGTGTTTTATAATGTCTCAAAAAGGCAGGAAATAACTGCAGGTGTTTGAGATGAAAACATTTTACTATTGCTATAAGCTGGTAGGTGTAGGAGTTTTAGAGTGAGGTCAGGTCCTTAAAAGGAATGTTAACTGAAGGCCTCACTTGGGGTTGAATACTGTTTAAATGAAATGAAATCTTTACCTTCAGCTTTTACTGAGACATTTGAGTGTTATATCATGGCAGTTCTCTTAAAAAACTCATTATCCAGAAAGAATAACGCAGAGTGAGAGAGAGGTTTGAAACAATATGAACATCGCCATCTTTTTTTCTTTATGAAACCAAGAGATCCAGATGAGCTGTCATGAGAAGATCGAGAGTTGTGAGGAAGCCACAGAGGTAGGTGGCAGAAATGGCCAAAATCTTCTATTTCAGCATATATCACAGTAACAACACAGTAATTGTTCTGTGAATTCAATTAAAAGATGGTTTCAAATAATCATACTATACCATTCTTCATCACATTTGATTATTTTCTTCTTTTATATGGAACCTTAATACAAACAAAACCCACTGACTCACAGGAGACCGCACCTTTAATAGGTTAAGAAACAAAAGATTCTTCTCCCTCATCTTGGGTTGGTTGGAATGCCTCCGGCTCTGTATTTACAGTTTCACTCTCCTCCTCCGTGTTTTCTTGTCACTCTCTTCTTCTGCGGTGGTAAGCGTGGTAGGCAGTCCTGCTGCCCAAATCACGTGACCTTGCACGGTAGCTGGATTCACGAGATCACGTGAAAACCTAGCCCTGATTTGCTAGATAGCAGAGGCACTAAGGGATAGCTCCTGTCAAGTGGAAAATGGGGGTGAGGAACCAAAGCAAAAAAAAAGAGAAAAACATTTAAAAGTGTCTGCTGGAAAAAAGGTATAAAAAAAAGAGGGATGTGGGAATAATTTAACTATTTTACTGAGAATAAAAACAAACATTGAGGATGTTTTTGCAGCCTGACTTAGCAGGATGGCTGTAGGCTCTGTGTAAACATGAAAGGACCCCTTTAAGTGCACTTAATGGTCGGTGGCGTTACGGACCATCTGTCCCCCCCCTCAGATGGACGCTCTTGTGAAGAGGACCTCCGACATTGAGGTGGGACTGAAGAGGACCAGGAGTGGACGGGTCATCAAGGCGACTACGGTCAGTCAGCCACTCAACAGCCACTAGTTCTCTCCTCCACTGTCACAGCTAGATGACCCGAGACCTTTGGCTCTCTTTGCTTTGTTAATTAATTAATCAGCAGAATAGATCTTTGTATGAGTCAGCATAGGTCAGACAGAATGCACCCATAGGGCTCTTTTGAGTTTGCAGTGTTGTCACTGCAAATTAAGAAGTTACATGTTTCTTTGACACAGTGAGTATTTTATTAATGGAGTAAGCCAAACGTGTTAACAATTAAATATGAGCTCACTCAGGTTATTTTAAATCCTTTATGATATTTATATGCATTGATCTATGGACTAGTTGAGTATTGTGTGTATGTAAGAGCAGATACGTGATTATCATACATTATTATGTGTATTATTGTGTGTATCTCTCTGCTCACATGCTACTGGACCCAGTATTTTTTATGACTGTGTGCTCAAGGACCTCTCGTTGCTGCACTTATGTTAGTGTTAGCAGAATCTTCTGTTGGTATTTTCACTTCCAAGGTTTGTCCCCATATAGTCTACTCTGGTTACAACTTGCATATCGCCTCCCCTTTATTCCACCACTCTCACGCATACACAGCGTGCCCTGCACTCGGTGTTCCCCGTCCACATGCCCCCTAGACCAACGTAGTATCATGGGATGAATGTCCTGTGTTTGTCTGACACCCCCAGATGACATTTCTCTGTGACATTTGTGGATACATTGGCTCGTATCTTTATATATGTCATACTTCAAAAATATTGTCCAGTTGTTTGAGGATTGTGCCATTTGTTGGAGACAAAGAAGGTTTAGGAGATAAATTATTTGATATAAAAAAAATGGAAATAAAAACTGAGGATCAGCTGATAAGAAATGATCAGAGAAATAAAAAAGAGAAGCACAGCAGAGGATTCTGTGTATGACTGCTTTGGTGTTTTTATGTGGCAGGAAACAAACCTGACTGCGAACAACAAGAAGTCGACTGATGTGAAGGACAAAGCGGTGAGAAACTCATTCTTACAGCATTTATAAACTGTGATCTGATCCTTATTTAATATAAACAATTGAATATAGATAGAAAGGTGTAAATAAAGCTAGAAAATAATTAAGCACATCTTCCATGTTATGTAAGAGCTACAGTATGGGCCTGCTCTCCCAGATCACTTCATTCATATCTGTTAGGAAAAATTGATTTGATCTCGGGTGATAAGACCGTTGTAATTTCACATAAAAAGCTTTTGTACAGAGGGTATAGGATGAATTTTGAAATGGAAAGTGCGTAGGACACTGTTTGTTTCATGGATGAGTCAGCAGTGATCACTTTGGTTTCTCAGAGTGGGATGTTCTCTTGTCAGTAGACATATAATGCTGTGGTCGTCAACTGCGTATTTCTTCTGTTGTTTTTTCAGGTTTCTCAGTATGACATCCCCAACAGCCAGGAAACGCCGTCCACCTCCGCGCCTAAGAAGAAACGCAAATTCAGCGAGCCCAAAGAACGCTTCTGACCTCACATCCCACTGCTAACACAGCAGCACTGCTGCATTGGTTTCCACTGATGTTTTTTAAGTCTCAATTTTGATTGCAACAAGTTACATATCTGTTTTTTAAAAGGAATTCCACTCCTTTTAGCATTAATTTGGGGGTTGTGATATTATTGTTTGTTTGCTCTACAGTTTGTATGAACGCACAATGTGGACAATTTGCTTATTTAAAGTTAAAATACAATTTTCTTCATTAACACAGTATTTAAGTTGACTTCCAATGATGTTTTACTGTTTTCATTCTAAGTTACTTGTCTACAAAGCAGGATTTCATACTTGAATAAAATAAAAAAAATGCATCCAGTGTCTTCTGATGTCGCAGTTTATGACTCATGTTTTTATCAAAGTACAGTACAAAGGACAGTATAAGGTACAAAGGAGCAACAAAAGGCATGTCAGGATTGTTTTATTTCTATTTTAACTTGGATTTGGACTTATTTGTGCAGATAAATGCTTGTAAAACTGGGAGTCATTTGTGTAAAGTAAGTGAGTGAGCAATGAGGTCAAAGTATCCAGGTCATGACTTAACTGATGAGCTAATGGATGATACAGAAGAAGTCTGTTACTGTATGCGCCTGTATACACCTAACCAAGGGCGTAGGTAGAAAAAGAGAACTATGCAGAAACTATAGTCATATATGAGGCTGCCAGGATTTTATGCAATACATTTTTATTAGCTGTAAGGAGACAGTGAAAAGGAACCATGTGTGTGTGTATGTGGAGAAGAGAAGGGGTTAACCACCACCCACAACACACACTTCACTGCAGGAGTATTTTACAGTATAGGTGATGAGAATAACTTTTTACATGCAATAATTATATTGTGATATCAACAAATATACATTGTTGTGCTGTGTAGAGTATGTGTGTGTTTTAGATTTTCTGAAATTGTATCTGTTTTCAAGTATGGCCCTCTGGTCTGGAATAAAATGAATTGATTGATAAGTGCAAAAATGCGGCCCTGGAGGCCATACAGTCGTAATGCTCAGCAGCTGCTTCCATCAGCGCTGAGACGCTGTCAGACACCTGTGCTTGCTTCTCGGTTTGTAAAAAGGAAATGCCTCTCGCATAGTTGAAAGATTTAACAGTTTGAGCTTCCTGCCAGTAAAAACACCCCCTGCTCTGCCTCTGGGATAGAAAAATTCAACTTCACCTGCCTCTTGAAAAACAAACCTCTGTCTTTGAATACACCCAGAAATGCCACCATTTGCATGTGAGGTGCCTTAAATGAAGCTGTTAAGTGAAAGTGGATTATATCTGTACACAGTGACCTTTGGGCCCAGATAAGGGCCCATCAGCAGCCTCCCGCCCGGCAAACTGTGTGTTTTTAATCTCCTATTGTTTTTCCCAGAGAGAGGGACATTTGCTGATAGACTGCCTTAACCCAGTGCGGATCAATACTGCAGGAAGCCTTTGTGATGCATATCCAAGCAGCCCCCACCTCTCTGTGTCTGCAGCAGGCCAGAGGGGGTAGAGAAAGAGAGACTCCATCAAATCAGCCCTCACTTCCGAACACGGGCATTGTCTTGGCCACTACATTTATTTCATTGTCTCTGTGTTTTTTATGGGTATTTCTGATAACAGAGAAGTATAAAGCAGAATGAACTGGGAAATCCATGGTGGACAATACCCACACACCAGTGCATTGACGCGCTTTATGAGGTGTGAAATGAATCAGGGTTATCTAACCCCACAGCCCGACTCCAGTGGAATTTTTCAACACTTTTTATTATTTTGACAGCAGGGGGTTCTGTGGGTATTGATAGGTGATGAAATGCAATGAGGGTAAAGGCACCTTCGCAGGTCTAGTCATGTATTGTAGATAACCAGTATCTCAGCCATTGACATTACAACTACATTATATCACAGAAATGAACCGATAAATAGCGCCCAAAAGGCAAAATGTATCCAATGGCATGGAAAATAAAAAGAAATGTATACAGGAACATACACATATTGAGAGATTGTCTCATCTGGCACCAAAAGTAGTGTAACTCTTGGAGATTAGACCCTTCAAGGCACAAAGACTTGAATATGGACCACTTTCAATCACATCTGAGATTTGAAAATGAAAAAACAACATAAGAACATGTTTAAGGGTAGACCAGTGTTCCCGTCAAGCACGTTCCAAATATCTAACGACGAAAGGGGGCATAGGAATCTAAATTGCAATTTTATTTCGCGTCCACCCTCAATCCTTCACTCGGATCCTGGGACTCTACATCATTTCTGTACACACACGTCTCCCAGAAATGAATTCTGAAATTAAATTCAGGGACACACGTCCAGTGTCCAGTGTTAACAGATCAATCAGCTGGCCAAACAGCAGGAGGGGCCCGCCGGACGCCTCTGCAGACCAATCAGAAATCTGGGTTCGGCCTGTCTGAGTCGATAGCTTAGGTCCAGGGCCGCCTGGGTACGGTCAAGGCAAGACACACTGACAGACTGATGGACAGACAGCCGCAGTCCATCCCAGGGCTGTATATAGATTAAAGCCAGCTTCTGTGAGCCTATAGTCGCGTTGTGGTGATTGTGCCTGCAGGGCCTATAGGCCCCAAGGGGGGGCTGGGCTTTACACCAGGAGGGGGAGGAGCAAGGGATGGAGTGGACATCCAGCCTAGGGACCGTGACCCCTTTGACCTTGCCAGAAGGGCAGCAAATGTTTCCGAGCTGATTAGCGCTTCCCCAGCAGAGTACTCCGCTCATGGTTAACCCTTTGGAATCAGGTAGTGGGCAGATGTGTTGGAGAAAATCCAGGAAATATGTCATTCAAATAGTTTCTGGCAAAAAAATACAGCAAGGTTAAAAGTTTAAGTGAATTCAAATATTTTAATTAATGCCCATAAGGATTAAACATTCTTATACTTTTTCACACACTTAATTTGAGTTTGAGGTACTTTTACCACTTTACTTTTTTTTTCTTTTATTCTACTTTATACTTCTACTTCACTGCATTTCAGAGGAAAATATTGTACATTTTATTCACTATATTTGTTTGCAAATTAGACTTATAGACATATTACCTTATCAATTCATAAAATATGATGCTGATAACGGAAGGCGACTTTATGTGTATACCACCTTTTAACCAGAAGCTAATTCAAAGTGATATACACAAGACAGAAAATCGGATGTAAACAGGATTAAAGATTATAAATTAGAAGATAGAAATAAGTAAAAATGTAAAGAAAGAAATTAAACAGGAAAATTGAAATACAATGTGGTTAATGTGCTGTATGAAATATGAATGAATGGTTTTCAATTTAATTTGATAAAAGGTTTAAAAGCAAGGTTTTAAGCCTAAATGCAAAAGACTGACTGAAAGACTGAAAAGAGACTTAAAACCTGACTTTTAATTGCAGTATTTATACAGTATGATACTGTTATTTCTACCTAAGAATGTGACTACTACTTTCACCACTGTATGTTTACACAGAGAATAAGAAACTTGCTGTAGCCTCACTGGATGAATTTAGCAGGAATTAAATATCTTGAACCGCCACAAGGGGGCGATAAGTAGCCATGGAATGAGCAGCTAGACTGAGGCGCTCAAAGATAACGTCTGCTGCCTTATGTCATGACAGAAAAGCATCCTCTTTCTCATGCATGCCTTAATCAGCTCATACAGTTGGCCTCCACACTGTACACAATTTAAAAAGCATGTGATCCCACTAAACAGCCAACACGAGGCTATTCAACTTGTCTTTTGAGAGACACTGCAGCAGAGTCAACAGTATTGATCCGAATAAGGAATGATAAAAGGAGGGGAGGCTGAGAGCAGGTGGTAGTGGGCCAGCAGATTCAGGGATTTAGTCGCTCACCGGGTATGTATGGTCAGCGCTACCGAGCGGCGAGGGGACCAATACCTACTCGAAACAGATGCTCAAAGCAATGGGATGTGCCCCCATTGTGATCAGAGTGGACAGCTGAATTGTTTACCACCAAAGGGCCCTTTTCTTCAGCGGTAGGCCCGTGCACAATGGGGCCCCCGCCGCACTGACACACTGAGGATTTTTGCAGGGGGAAGCGCAGGGGGGGGTAGTGCGTGTGCATCGAGGGATAGGGGGTTTATAGGGTGAGCCTCTGTCCGTACCCCCTTTTTTCTTTCTCTGTGCTCATATGGACCTCTCTGAGCCCCCCCATCTCCTCCACAAAGCCCCCCTAAAGCTACCGGAGGGCAGGGGTTTAAATGTCACGCTTGGCCATCAGAGCGCCCAGCCCCCGGCTCGTGTCTCCTGGGGGAAGCACGCCAAGAGACAGGGAGAGGGAGAGAGGAAAGCTAAGGGGAGGGAGACACTTGCCCTTGCCCCATTGTCCATTACGATAGGCATGAGCTGCTAACTGACTCCAAATCAAGTGTATCCTCTCGCCACGCGCCCTGGCCTTGTCCTGCTCTTGCTCAAACACAAAGGCCCTCTATGTTTTTGTTTCTTCAACCATCCATAGGTGAATAGCAGCTTTGGTCATGGTATGTTTGACAGAGCAGCTTAAAGGAGGCTGCAGAGTCTAAATTCAGCTGGCCACCGGGCTGAATGATAAACACAGTTTGTCATCCTGAGATGCTCGAGATCCGTCCACATTGCACTCCGGTGAGCTCTTACATGACAAAAATCAATGCTAACTTTTTGCGTTCAGTCACATAAGAGGGACTTCAAAACGTTAAATCGGGTGGAGGCGGGATGAGGAGTGGGGTGACAAAGTGTCAAGCTGAAATACAAGTACAGGACGAAATATACGAGCCGCCGGCCAACTTTATCCCAGCCCAAGGTCCTGGCCCATACTTAACCCACCCACAAGATTGAGTGTTTTATGTATCTATTTGTTCTAAATAGTGGCACACTTGACCTTGAGTCAAGATGTGTGTGCTCGCAGCCTGGCCCGGGAATCATCCCTCCTGTCAGGGACGGGAGGGAGTGACCTTGAACCGCCAAGGCGCAGGCGTAGCTGAGTGCACAAACTCATTTAACTCCCGGGTTTGTTATCGACATGCTGTAATCGTTAACATTATGGATGATGAATAACTACTGACTGCCATATACCTGCGCAATACGTCGCCGTGCCATGCAGACTGGGGCAAGATGGGGGCCGGCAATGGCAGACATGGCGTGCTGATGGTCAGGTGACTGGAGGACCACATCACTTAGACTTGTTTTTCCACCCAATCATAGCGACAACTCATCAAGGGTGCCAGCAAAGCACACGGAGGTGCTTAAGGACATAGATCACTCCTGTGCTTTATGCTTTTTCTTTTACCACACATACCTCTATGTGTGCTCAGGAACACTTAACCTCCAGCATCAGCTGTTCAGGCATC